TTCTTGCATCTTCATGTCCCATCTATCATAGGTGCTTCTCGGAGGTCCACGTGCTTCTCGAAGGTCCACGTGCTTCTCGGAGGTCCATGTGCTTCTCGGAGGTCCGTGTGCTTCTCGGAGGTCCCTGGCTAACAGGGTCCCACTAGTTTTTCCTCAGCATAGCTAAAAGAAACCAAGAGATGGAAAAAGCAAGATCACCATGCAGTTAGTTCGACATGGAAGCTGCCCCCAAGAAGAACAAAACCATCATCCCTCACAGTAGCTAGCAGGTCTTTTACAGATAACCTTGGCAATTGTAGCCGGTGATGACCCAGTTGTGGTCATTTTAAGAAACAAATAACAAATAACCCCAAGATTAGACTCCAAAATGAAGCAATTTTTCAAATGAGAACAGGCAACAGACTTGGAGAATGGACAGACAAGCCAGATGTGAGGGAAGAGTCTCACAGAAGGTGAGTTTACTATTCTAGGAACGAACAGCACCTCCTCTTTGTCCTCTGGGTCCCAGCAATCCATGTGTCTCTGGTTAAATCAGATGCTGGGGCCGGGAACAGTTAAAAAATAAGCATAAAACCTACTCCCAGACAAAAACCATTCTGCAAGAAGGGTGTATTCAAAGCGCACCGAGAGGTGGTCTAAGGCCACCCACACTCCCTCTCAGCAAAATCTCTTCGTCTCTAACCATCACCCCCAGCCTGTCTGGCACTAAGTGGTTTCATAATGGTCCCCCAAGCACTTAGAAGAAACAGAAATGGCTTCACCCAGCACCACACTGGTTCAGCAGGTTTACAAAATCCTGGGGCTCAGTGCTCCCCCATCTCCCAAGTTTCCACGCAACAGCCAACAGCCGGTAAATGGTTGACATAACAGGAGGGTGTCCTTCCCTCCCTTCCCTCGGGGCTCTGCAGGCGGCACCAGAGAAGGCACGCATGCCACGCATTAACAACTACGTAATGGGAGCGAGGTCTTTGTGAGTTCACAGTTCTGTGGCCTCTGCCTGTCAAAGGTGGCCCCAGAGCCCCCTTTTATAATCTTTCCCAAGACTGAAATGTATGAGTACACAAAGCGCCCTTAATGGAAGGTCACTCTGGCTTGTATAAAAAGCCATGTAAACTTCATCTCAACGTTTACTCAGTACCAGCCTTGTTTAATTTCCTGCCCGGGGATGTGCAGGGAACGTGATCAACCCTCTCAGGGCTCTGAATACCTTTCAGAAAATAAACTGTGGCTTCCCCATCAATACCAGAGGGGTCTCCCAAAAGGGTGTTATACCCCCTCCAACTCTGTCAAAAAAAAAAGGCAACTTGACAACATGCCCCTTTATAGACTGTGTGGATACCCCCAGACAGTGGCATTGGAGGCTCCCTTATACCACAACACATCAGTGTGACCTTGACAAGTGACCCCTTTTTTTTGGGTCCTACCTCTTGCCTGCGGTACACACAAGGTTGGCAGCATCGTCATAGGCTACAGTGTGGGAGATGAACCCTGAAGCCCATGCTATGCTCCATTTGGGATGGGGTGTGAATAGCACTGACCAGAAACAGTCTGCTATGAGGGGTAACTCAGGTGAAGTCAACAGCATGGTCTCGGTAGCCCAGCTCCTTCAGTGCCAGGTGGGCAGAGTGATGGCATCAGGGACCCCAGATTCAGAGATGACTTCTGTCCCTACCATGAACCTGTGGTGCTGCAGGGACCCTCCCTTCACACCAAGCCCCCTTCATAGACCCGTGTTCCACAGCCACGTCCTAGAAACACAACCTGCTTCCAGAGCAGGGAAATCTGTATGTTAGGAAGCCTCCCTGTACAGCCCCAAAGCATGGTCCTGCCCAAGATGCCACTTCCCACCTGAGCTGCCCGCACAGCCGGAGGGAGCCCACTGCCTGGGCTCTCGTCCAGCCAGGCTGGTGCTCAGCTGAGTGTGCAGTGTCTCACCACTTCCCATCCAGAGCTCAGGAGGGAATTACAGGCCAGGCCCCAAACCAGCCAGCCAAGCCTTTCATTCAAGCTACACAAGGACCCAGAAGTAAACCTCCATCCAGGCCCTACCCTGCATGGACCATTGTGTGGCTAAGGTGCCAGGCCTTAGCTAAGGCCTGTTCTGGTTTGGCATGTCTGTAGGATCCCACCTCCCTTGCATGTGCTGTAAGAAATAGGTCAGACCTACAGAGAAAGTGACTCCTGCCCCTGAGACTGTGGCCATGCGGTGATTATGTGATAGTGTCCTGTGCCAACAGGGATACATTCTGGCACCCCTCTGAGCCAACTTTCCCATCTGAAAAGTGAGTTATTGGTCTAAATGGTAGCCAAATGTAGACCCCATGGACCTGTGTTCTTTAAGCACAAGAATTGTTTGCCAAGACCAAGGCTATCAACAGAGTGGATGTGGGCAGCACTGAGTTTGGTTGTGTCCTGACTTCAACAGGGCCCCCTCCTGGTCCAGAAAGGCTCCGAAAGAAAAAAAATACAAAAGCCCCTGGAGCACATTAGCATATTGTCACATTAGCACATTGTTCATCGTTACACTTGGGGCCACAGTTTCAAGTCAGACAGAGAGCGCACAGGGGCACATCTGCAGCACCGAGAAGGAGCTTGTGAGGATGGCCTCTGGCCGGGCACACCTTGGCCACTATTGTAATACTGTCCGTGGTCAAGCCCAGTGCGCAGTGGCGAGAGAGGACAAGCTAACTCCTCCTTCCATTGGCTCATTCAGCAGACATCATAGGTTTTCCTGAGGTACTCACTGCTTCTTGGGGTGGGGTGGGGGGGGCACAGACATGCACTTTACTGGTTGTGTAAAGCTCTCCCACAATCGGTGAGGTAACGAGGCTGGCACTAGGGTGAGGGGGGAGAGAGAGAGAGAGAGAGAGAGAGAGAGAGAGAGAGAGAGAGAATGAGGTATCTAGACTATGGGACTGGATGTAGCTTGCCCTTGGACACCCTGAGAGCCACTGTCTGCATGGCCCGTGACTTGCTCTTCTTACCCGCAGCTCCCGGCTCTGCCCTTGCTGAGCAGGTACCGTCGAAGGCAGCCATGCCTGTTGAGGAGTGTGGCAGCTGCTGCTGGCTTCCTGCATGGAACAAGGACTTGCTACCCCCACCCACCTCCCCCAACCCCCAGTCCCACTTGTGTTCTGACTACCCAGGCTTTCCCAGTGCTATCCATCTGAGCAGACCTCGACCAGTTCATGTTCTCTTCTTGCCTCTTTATGGGCAAGCGGAGCAGGCAAGGGTTGCTGAGCAAGCGACCTCCCTTGGTGGCCTGAGTGCCCACAGGCCCGGTGTGGACAACTGAACTGCATGCCATTTTGCCCAGGTGTATTCAGTCTGAGCAATGGGCAGCCAGTCACTGGGGTTCTATGCAAACTGGCTACACCTGGGGGTGGGGAGGGGGTAAAAGAAACGAGGAAAGGCAGCTGTGAGGGGTCTGATCAAGACCAGCTTAGAGAAGGAAAGGGCTTATTTCAGCTTGCTTCCTGGTTACAGTCCCTCACTGAGGGAAGTCAGGGCAGGAGCTCAGCCTGGAGGCAGGATGGGAAGCAAAAGCCACAGAAGAACTCTTCTCACTGGCTTGCCTCGAATGGCCTGCTTTCTCATGCAACCCAGGACCACCTCCTCAGCGATGGCACGGGACACCTCACACAAAATCATGGTTCAGGAAAACACCCCACCGACATGCCCATGGTCCATTTTCTCAGTTGAGGTTCCCCACTGAGGTTCCCAGAGGACTCTAGCATATGCCAAATTGACAATAAATAAATAAATAAATAAATAAATAAATAAATAAATAAATAAATAATCGGCTCACCCCCTTAATTAAATGTTCTACCTGATGGCCTGTGGCTGATCATAAATCAGTCCTCCCACCCCACTCCCACACCCTCACCTCTCCAAAAAAAGGTAGACTGGTCCTAAGCCCAGCCTGTGGAGTCTGAAGCTCCTTTATAGTTGTGCGAGCTTGGTAGGTGAGATCCTTCCTGGGTTCCAGATCCCACCTGAGGTAAGGTGCTCAGGTGCCCACTGCGCACAAAGGTACCACAGCGCCATGACAGTGTGAGGCATGAAGCCTGAAGCCCGTGCCCTATAGTCAACGTGTGGTTAGAAGCATGAATAGCAGCTACCAGAACCCCTGTGCCATGAGAGGCCAGTGTAGAGGCCAAGAGCATGGACTCCCGGCCAGGTAGGCCAGGTTCAAATCCCAGCTCCTTCAATCCCATCCAGGCTTTGCAGATGGGAGGAGGAATGAGAACCTCACGGCCCTAGCGTCTTTTCCTGTTTCTGTTCCCCTTTCTCCCTCTCTCCTCCTCGGTATCCTCTTTGGTGAGTGATGAAAAGCAGGCGGTCACAGCGCTGTCCCTGTCCCTTCTGATCCTCAGTCATTGGTTCGCAGCCTCTCTCAGGGCTGTGCTGCAAATCCTGCCACCTCCCCGCCTCCCTCCCGCCCAGGACAGAAGCCGCTGGAGCTCAGTCTCCAGCTCAGGCAGGAGCGCAGCGGTGGGAGCGCGTGAGGACAGGCTTGCTACACACCAGGCGTCTGGACAACCGACCCGAGGCTGCGGGACGGCTCCAAAAGGCCACCGCACCCGGGGGAGCGGAGGATCCGCGAGTACCCGCGCCCGGAGCAGAGCCCCACAAACTGCTGCTGCATTCACCTGCAGCCTTCGCAGCTGCTGCAGCCCAGGGGTGCTCCGGAGCTCACCGGATTTGAAGAGCCGCTGGAAAACCGTGAACCGGGCCCGGGGCTCGGCACTCTCCAGGTAGCAACAGCCAGAAGCGGAAACTCCGGAGGTGCCGGGGTCTGCCGCGGCTGAGCATCTTGAACGGAGGACGCCCCCCCCCCCTTCCCGGGGTCCCAGTGACCTCGCCGCCCGTGGGGCACCGATTCCCCCGTAGGTGCGCGCCGCCAGGCGGGAGGGGAGCGCCATGGAGGCTCTTAACAGCGCCGGTCTGCAGCATCAGAAGTGAGGTGGTCCTGCCGGAGTCGGCGGGCCCCGCGGATCATGTACGGCGACGTGTTCAACGCCACCAGCGGGCCGGAGGCGGCGGGAAGTGGCGCGCTGGCCCCGGGAGCCACGGTCAAGGCAGAAGGCGCTTTGCCGCTGGAGCTGGCCACCGCGCGTGGAGTGCGGGACGGCTCGGCCACCAAGCCCGACCTGCCCACCTACCTGCTGCTCTTCTTCCTCCTGCTGCTGTCCGTGGCGCTCGTCGTCCTCTTTATCGGCTGCCAGCTGCGCCACTCGGCCTTTGCTGCGCTGCCCCACGATCGCTCGCTGCGCGACGCCCGTGCGCCCTGGAAGACGCGGCCGGTATAGGACAGAAGGAGTCAGGGCCGCGGGGAGCTTGGTCTTGGCCTTGCAGAAAGCCTCCAGCAGGACCAGAGTAGGGTGGGCTCCGGGGTCGCCCAAAGACCCTTTCTGACCTGATGAATCAGGGGTGTTAAGGAGGTTGCGTGCGGTCCTGGTCCCAGTGCCTAAAAGTACTCCCTAGGCGAGTCCCCCTCTACCCCCCTACAGCGGGTCCTGTCAGGAAACCACCCGGAAAGACCCACCCGGGGCACAGGAGCCTTGCCTGCCTGATGAGTGCCTGACTTTGCTCGCAGAGGGGCAGCAGGCGCCGCGAGCGCGGGACTAATCAGGAGCTGACTGTCCGGCCTGGACTCTCCGGCCCTATGGCTGTCCTCTGCAGCTGCTACCACCTTTCTTGCTCCTTGACACTGGGGATCCGATAGAGAAATGACACAAGGTTTCAGTGTGTCCCTCTTGGGTTCGAGTACCCAGTTTCCTCTAAGAGCAGGGGCTGAGGGACCAGTGGAGGGACCAGTGATTACAACTGCCGCCGGGGTGGGGGTGGGGAGCTGCCACGGAGAGTCTGCATCTCATGTCTTCACGGAGCATATTTCTACAATAAAAGCCCACCAAATTAGATCCAGCACGGAAAACACTGATCATTGGTCGCAGCGTTTTGGAAAGGGAATATGAGAGGGCCCATCCCCAGGAGGAATAGGCCCGAGGCCGACCCACCTCCCCTGCGAGGGTCAGGTCAGTCTGAGCATACCTGCTCTCTGGTTTTCCTTAGCTTTTGGCTTGCTTTGGAAAGTGTTTGTTTTCTTTGGGGTTTTGTTTGCTGGCAGACTACAGGGATAACTACCTCCTGATCTGCTGAATACATTCCTGTTAACTGGACCCCACAGAGACCCTCGCTGAGGGGGCAGAGCTTTCTCTCACTGCTTAGTTGAGCCAGGGCTTAGTGAAGGTCGGTCCTGAAGGGGAGGGAGTGGGGTAGCATTTCCTCCCAAGCAGGCGAAAGCCAGCCCTGAGATTCCCACAGGAACGGATGCATGGGGATAACAGCAAAGAACTAGGGGGTGAGGAGGTAGGTTTGACTATTTTCTATGTTAGCCTAATTCCAGGGAGGTAGGTTTTGTTTTGACACAGGGTCTCATAGGCCTGGCTGGCCAGGAACTCACAGAGGTCTGCCTGCCTCTGCCTCTTGAATGCTACCATACTACCATGCCCCATACCCCCTGCCAGGGAGTTATTTTAATGGGCATATAAAATACCTCTAGGAGCACCTTGACTTAAAGACGTTCACTTCACTTGAGCTTAAGAGACATTTACTGAAAAAGAATCTGACATATTAATCCAGTTTACTCTTAAACCATGCTGGGAGTTGAGAGCTTGGGAATCTGGAGCAGGAAAAAGCACATTCGCCCCCACCCAAGTGCACAGACACGGAATTCTGCCACATTTATAAGGGATTTTGGATATGTTCAGATGGCCAAGCAGGAGGCTCCGAGACTAAGCAGGGCCCTCCCCCACTGCTTCTCCCCTTACCCTAGAGGAGGTGGCAGGAGGAACTAGGGATGCTGAAAGACTTGGTTACACAGCCAGGCTCTAGAGCTCTGAATTCCCTCAGCCTTGAGTCCTTGTCGGGATACCTCCTTTGTCCTTTCTCCTCACAGAATCTAAGATTATTATCTGGAACTGGAGCCAAACATCTTCAAGTCTTCTATAAGGATAGTCCAGCTAATCCACACCTACCCTGATTACAGGGAAGACTCTGTGAGCATAGATAGGTAAACCATAAGCCCCTGGCTAGCATACCAAAATGCCATCCATGCTCAGGGCTGGAGACTGGGAGAGGTAGGAGTGGTATGTAGGAGGAGGACATTCGTCCACTACATCCTGGTAGTCAGCATTGGTGTTATTTCTGAGGAGTCTGAATGCAGGCTCTGCTCTAACCCTCTAGCTGAAATCCCCCGTGAAGTACTTAACCTATGTCCTCTTCCATGAAATGGCTTTCATATTGTATCTGATCTGCAGGTAGCATACTAAGCCAGTGTCACAGCCTGAACAACACAGGCATAGAGTGAATTCTCAAAGGTTAGCTATTCTTGTCACTGAGGAACAGATCTGAGGCTGAGAGAAGCTGACTCCCAGACAGGATGTGCTCAGTTACAGTTCAGTCTTCTGTGACCACAAGAAAAAACAAGGGTCAGTCCTCAGAGAAGAACATGACCAAGTAATTGGCTACAAAGTCACCTGTGTTTCCTAGGGCACTATTGGCTATAGCCATAGGGATCCAGTACCATTGGGATCCCTTCATAAAATATGGAGCAAGGTGACAAGAGGTGTTTGCTTTAGGAATAAACTCTCAGATAACTGGGCTTACGTAGGGCTAGAATCCAGAGCTGAGTCTGTAAGAGCACCGTGTGCCAGTGCTGCTATTCTGAATAACTCCATTTTCTAGGGTGGCATTGGGCTGGCTGAGCAGTAATGGTTCTTCCTCATACTGGACCTGGATTTCCCCAGAGCAGTGAAGTGTGATCTATCTGTCCTCGGCTAGTAATATGTAAGCGAGTGGATTACAGTGTGACGATTACAATTTAGATAGTACTGTGGGCCAAATACGTATGTTCTCCCCAAATTTGTACATGGAGGTCCTGCTTCCCCGAGTGGCTGCATTCACACTATGGAATTGGAGCTTCATGAGGTCTAGGTGAAGCCCCAATTCACTCCTTGCTCCCTGTAGCCGAGAAGGCTATATGAGCACACACCAGAGATGCTGGCCATCTATAAACCCTCGTCAGAAACTGAATTAACCAGAACCTTCCAGCTTCCAGAACTATGGGAAAATAAATTTTTGTTGTCTAATCTATCAAATGTATGGTATTTTGTTTCGACAGCTCAAGTTTAAGAGAGATGGCTCTCCAGAGGCTAGTAACAATCACACATACTTTTCTGTCTTTGCTATCCTGAGCCCAAGCTGTAACGGAAACACCTTAGGAGTGTTGGGTGTGGCGGGCTAAAAATAGGAAGAGGCCATGGCATGGTGTTTGTGCTTCCTCTCTAAAGCTACCACTGGAAGCAGAAGAGTGTTAGCAAGAAGACATTCCAACAGAGGGAGACGGGATGGGAGTGTGGGAGCAGTAGATGGCAACCAGGGACAGACAGCAATGGGGACCAAGTGTCTGAGTTCCAGGGTCTGCTGACCCGAGTTTGATCCTACACTACACCTGGGTCACACCCGTGACCCTCTGGTGTTTGTTTCCTCAGCTATAGACTGAAGATAATAGCACCTACCTTGTGGGACTTTCAACACAGACACTTGAGGTCAAGTGCTTGGCTCATGTCCGGTATGTCAAACGTGTCTGAATGTGAGCTGTGTGTTGAGTCAGGACGCTGGCCCCAGAAGTGCTTACAGTAGGACAGAGACTGCTTTCCATGAGAGTCTTGCATTCTTCTCAGTCATGTGGGACCGGATGGTAGAGATTTTCACTCTCCAGCATACCTGCCTACATCAGGGGCAACTGGGCCACATCTACAATCATGGCTTCCGGTGCTCCTCGGAGGGCTCTCTCCACCATAGCTGGGCATCTTACAGGAAAACCCAAGACGTCTAAGACCATCACCTTTCTATCTCGATTTAAGGTTTCTCCAGTATTTTCAATATTAACTGCCCAAGGTTATAAAAAAGCACGGTGGCCATTTCCTTTGCTCATATGCAGAGGTTATCTGCTAAACGCCTGTCCACCCCATCAAATCCCCCCACCTCCTTTGTCCTACAGCCTTTCATCTACCTCCAATCAGAATCCTTACCTGATTGCAACCTCTGCCTTCAGTTCCAGCTTACTTACACCTTTCTCTCCTGATTAAAAACAAAAATCTCAACTCTGCCTACAAGGCCTAGAACCTTCTGGCCCACAACCAGCTTCATGTCCTCATATCCTTCTTGAACTTGAAACTGTTTTAATCCCCAAGAACCTTCTGAATTAAGCTGCTTTCTCTTCCCTCTGGCTAATGCCTTCTCATCCTTCTGATTTCTAATCGTTGTCAAAACTTGCTTGAGCTCCCCAGACTGTTAAGTTATATTCTTGGCTAGCCCAGCCATTGGGGAGATGAACTCAGCTGAACAGAACTACAGAAAGCACAGACTGCCCATTTCCCCGTGTCTGTTTCGGGCTTCTTACCTCATTCTACATTCTGAAAGGGTGGTCATTTCTAACTCAGTGTCTTTGCCCTTGCCTCCACTCGAGTGTTGCCACCCTCTTGAGTCCCTAGTGAGAGCTACAGCACGACTGTAATTAGCCTCTCTTCCCCACAACTGTGTGCAGTCATGAGAGAGGGAGAGGGGGAGAGAGAGAGAGAGAGAGAGAGAGAGAGAGAGAGAGAGAGAGAGAGAGAGAGAGACATTTGCCCTGCTCAGCATTTCCTCTAGATGCCTAGACATAAAACAGACACCCAGTAGGCACTGTTAATTATACTGGGGAAACAGCTAAGATTTAAGGTGAGCTCAGCCTGTGCATTCATTGGTTTTTGCCTTAAACCTGTATCTGACAGAATACCGAGTTGAAACTCTTCCTTATAGACTGGTCCTCCAAGCAGCCTGTTTCCCAAAGGTGGTAATCCAGTGTTAACAGTTAGCATTTCTCCTCTCTGTGTACGTAACACCCGAGTTAATAATTTATTATTATCTCCCTCAGAGACAGGGCACAGAATTTTTACATTACTACCCGTCCTGGTTTTGCTTAGACCACTCCCCTTCCTGAAGGAAAGGAAGATCTCAGTGATGTCGCTCCCGTGCCTTCTCAACTGCTGAGAACAGGAACGTTCAACTGACTTCCTCACTTCTTCCTGGACTTGAACCCAAACTTAGCTCTCCACTGAGATCTTCGCTGGCTGTGACATCCACAGCCGTGATTCCTTCTTTCCCCCACTCTCTTCTCACCCATTTCACCTCAGAACTTACCCGTGAACAGACATGTTATTTCCCTTGTCTGCTGCCTCCAATGAGAGTGAAGATGTACAGGAAAAGAATTTTTTTTTAATCTGTACATCCACAGCCTGACACGTAAACAGTTCTCAAATATTAGCTGAATTGTGTTGCTCAAGGTCAGGAGAAAAGAACTGGCTGGGGAAAGGAACCAAGGTGTACACTGGGCAGAGCTGAAGTCCTGTCTTATATGCGGACGATGCAGGATTTCACTGAAGTGTTCTCTCTGGAGTGAAGTTCATGTCGTCTGTGTTTATGTTTATCTCCACACTTCCTGGCATCACTCAGGTGGCCTAACCAGTTCTAAGTTAATGAAAAACTTCACAGACCTGTGAGGAGATATTCATTGTGGGATGCTTGCTGTTAATTACCCTTCTGAACTAATGTTGACACAACTGTAAGCTGTGCAAAAGCTGTTCAAGTCCTCTCAGCCTTTATCATCCATAGAGCCTCCACCTAAACTTTCTAGGTCTCAGAGGTGTCTTCTGTGGCAGCCCGCCTGAGTGCCATCAAAGGCCTTTCCCACACGCAACAGCTGGGGAAGGAACATCATGGTGTAAACCAGATTACACAGACTGGAGAACATTCACCACTAGGCTCTAAAATAGTTCACACATCTCTTCTTGTTTTCTGTCCTCAAGGGCATCAAGGAAACTGCGCCCTTTTCCCGTTCTCTGAGAGAACACCAACTGCCAACAGGCGGAAGCACCAACTGCACTGTTGATTTTATAGCTCAGTCAGGCAACAGTCGGTCCATAGAGGCAACAGTCACAGGTACCTGCCATATCATGGCCCAAGGCTTCCATGAGAAGAGATCTACGTGCTAGAATTTCTTACCTGAATTTCCTTTGGAATACAGTGATGAGATCTGATAATGCTGAACTAGAATCAATTTAACTAAAAATCACCTCCTTACATAACTTACAAGGTAAACTCTAGTATTAAAATCACACCAGGCTCCGGCGTTCTGTCAACATGTCAGACAGCAGACTTCAGCGTTTGGGAACCGCTCCAGCGGGGGATACAAGTCTGTCTTCACAGAAATCCCAAGTGCTGACACAGCACACTGGGGAACAGCAGTAGCCTGGAATGTTTGGGGAGTCTCTTGGACAACCCTGAACAACTCAGAGCATTCTCAGGCTTGCTACTGGTTTTCTCAGATGGTCTTTTGTTCTCTGAGGGAGCACTACCATCCCAGATGAGAAAATTTTATTTCCACTATATAGTTATACCCAGACTTACATGCCATAGGTCTTCTAAGGTGGTTAATAGTATGATTCCTTATTTTTCAGGTATCTTCACTAGGATTTTAGTCTCTCCTCTTGTATTTAATTTCTCTTCTTCCTCCCCACTCAGAGCCCCACCTACACAATCAGATCACTTGCACCTATTTCTCTGTTGCTCCCCCAAACTATGGTAATGGTCCCCTTTGACTTTCCTGATTTCTGCAGTTCCTCCAGGATATGCTCCACCTCAAAATCTGGAGCCAGGAGCCTCCAATGAGAGAGAAAATGTGATGTTTCTATTTCTGGGTTGGGATTCACCTCATTCAATATGGTCGTTTCTAGTTGCATGCATTTCCTTGGAAAGCTCATGGTTCCCTTCAGAGTGGAACAGTGTTCCTTAGTGTCTATGTATCACATTTTCTCCATCCAGTCATCAGCTGAAGGTCATTTAGGTCACTTCTGTTTCCTAGCAATGGCAGAGAGAGTACCAGTGAACACGCTGAGCATGGATCTGCTGAGTCTGTGGGGCACAGGCCAAGGAGTGGGCTAGCTGGGTCACATGGTGGATTTTATTTTTTCAAATATCAGGTTTCTTTCTTTCTTTCTTTCTTTCTTTCTTTCTTTCTTTATTTATTTATTTATTTATTTATTTTATGTACATGAGTACCCTGTAGACACACCAGAAGAGGGCATCGGATCCCATTACAGATGGTTGTAAGCCACCACGTGGTTGTTGGGAATTGAACAACCAGTGCTCTTAACCGCTGAGCCATCTCTCCATCCCCTAGTAGATTTATTTTCTGTGTAAGAATTCTCCCCACTGATGTCCTTAGTTATTGCACCAATTGCTGCACTCATAAAGTCTCACCAAAGTAACTACCTAGACATGAGCAGAACCAGGACAACGACATGCCAAAGAGGACAGATCAAAGACCACCAGGCCTTAGCTCCATACAAAGAACTAAAGGAAACTGGGCAATCCTGAGGGCAAGAGAGGGCTCTTACTGGGGAGGAGCCCTCGGATTGGTTGTCTAGGGCCAGGCGCCCAGCCCTGAAGGGAGGCACGCAGGTGGCATTGTAGAGCAGGTTGTTTGGGAGTATACGTGTATGTGCATATACATACGAGCACATAGGAACAAATGAGGCCATGGTTTGAAGGAGAGCAGAGCGGTGTTGTAGAGAGAGCAGTGTGTAGAGGACCTGGAGGGAAGGAAGGGAGGCAGAGAAAAGCAAGGAGAGAGCACCACTCATAATCTGGGGCTGGGATGACGGTACCATGAGAGAAGTACTAAGCAAATATGAGGGATACGGTCAGATCCCTAGAACCCATACAAAGCAAGCAAGTCAGATCCCTAGAACCCATACAAAGCCTTCGGGGAGGGAGGCGGATCCGGTGCTGGTGGGCAGAGAAAGGGATCCCATGGTTTGCTGTCCAGCCAGTCTAGCCAACTGGTGAGCTCCAGATTCAGTGAGAGATCATGTCTCAAACAGTAAGGTCAAGAGTGACAGAGGAAGACAGCCAAGATCAACCTGCAGCCTGGGTGGGTGAGTATACATCTGCACACACATCAACAGGCCCTGTCACACACAATGTCACCCCTACTTAGCTACACACTTGCCAAAGAAAGCAGAGGACCAGTAGTGAGTGATCACCTGAGCAGATCAGAAGAGCACACAGCTACTGGTTTGGGAGCTTTAGCATATGTTTTTCTGTGCTGTTACAGTTCTCAGAATTTACCTCGCAAAATAATCCCTAAAATGAGATGCATAAAGTTTCTTGAATGAAGAATGGGTGGAGATTAAGACAAAGTAAAGGGAATTTTGAAAATCTATCTGGGGGCAGCATAGCTTCTCTGGGGCAGTGCCTGCCCAACCTGCACGAGGCCCGAGTCTGACAAGCACAGACTGATAGGCCATTCCTGTGATCCCAGCACTAGAATCAAGAGGTGCAGAACTCAGGGTCACCCTTGGCTACATATATGAGACTGGCTCAAATAAGCAAACAAATAAAATCCATCTTCAAACATGAACAAACTGCCCTAGGACATGCCTCTCATCAGGAATAACACATATTTTCCTCTCAATATCAACATGGACAATACAGAGTCTTAAACATTAGCCAACTCCTCTGATCCTTTCCCATCTAAATAAAGTTTGAGAGAGTTCAAGATGCCAACAGCTCATCTTTAAGGTTTCCTTATCCCTCCCCCCCAAAAAAAATACCTTTAAGGCAGTAAAACAGAAGAGGAAAGACTTAGGATAAGAGAAAAATTTTGAAAATTTATAATTACTGACAACAAAAATAGTCATACTGTAAATGGGGGAAAAGACATTTTGAAAAATCCTCTTTCTACCATATATTCATGCAGTTTTAAATAAAACTTTCTTCAGAGGACAGCCAGCTTGCTAATGGCCTCCTCAGACATGAACAAACATCATGAAATCTGCTGTCTTGCACACTGGCCGGCAGCAGTCGCTGGGCCCTGCCACTGCATCAGCCCAACTGCTTGGATCCCAGCAACCAGAGAGCTAACGTTAGGGTTATAGCCGCCAGCATCACAGCACACAGCACGCTAACCTGAGAGACTCCTGCAGAACACCTCACCAAATGCCTTCCAAATAAATCAGGAATTTCTGGTTTGCAGAAATTCCTCTAAAGAAAAGAATATTGTGTTTTTTTTTTTTCCATTTCTTCTCCTGGGATAAGGAATTTACTCTGAAATTTTCTCCTTCTGACCACGGTGCTTGCCTATATACCCTAGCAAACCTGCACCAGCTCAGTGTGGAGTATGTTAGCCAGGGGAGGTACACACCAGAGGAAGGATCACAGAAGCTAGTCTGACTTCGGTTACAAAAAAAAAAAAAAAGGAAGGAAGGAAGGAAGGGAAGGAGGGAAGGAAGGAGGGAGGAAAGGAAGGAAAGGGAGAAAGGGAGAAAGGGAGAAAGGGAGAAAGAGAGAAAGAGAGAGAGAAAGAGAGAAAGGGAGAAAGGGAGAAAGGGAGAAAGAAAGGGAGACAAAATGAAAAAGAAGAGCATAGCTGGGCCAGAGGGTTAGGGCACATGCTGCCATATCTGGAGACCCGAGTTTGATCCATGGAATCCACATGGACAAAAAAGAACCCCTAGTCATTTTCTGATCTAGACAGCACAACATGATAGCCAATACACACAGATTAACAAAATAAAAAACTTAAAAAAAATAAAAAAGACGTAGACCATCAACAGTTTACCAACCATGGTCAAGATCAAATAGTATTAAAAATAACTGCTTTATATCAAAGTAACAAAATTTAATAGATAATTTTAACAAGTTATTTTATACCAAGCAATAATCTAAATACTTTCTTTGTAATGTTTCATTTTATTTTCCTATGAAGGAAGTCTTTATTTTATAAATGCAAAAAAAAAAAAAAAAATGAGGCTCAGAGTGTTTTACTCATCCTGCCTAAGAGCACAGAGTCATAAGGCCCAGAACTCAAGCACTGCCTGGTACATGCTATACTACAGAGTGTATAGCCAGCTTTGCTAAGCAAGGCCCCTCACCTAGAAATGAGACCTAGGAAAGACTTAGTGATTAAACTAAAGCAGCCCAGGTTCTGCCTCAGTCTCTGCCTCCTCAGATCACCACTATGTGAACCACAGAGGAAGGCAAAGTATAAGAAAATAAACAAAGAGAGACACGGTAAGCAGATTTTGAGGTTTATTAAAACAAAGTATTAGCAAACGATATGCAAAAACAAATTTCTTAAGAATTATGGCTTTGAGAAGCACAATACAGTAAAACCTAATACATGTTATAAGTATCAAAAGGCAGCAGAGCGGAAGCACGCTGCTAGTGTAGTCTTCTACGACGTGAACAGAAGCAGACCCAATCCACAGCAGACCTGCAGTGTAGCCATCCATGTGCTTGGCATCGCCCACATGTGAAGCCCCTGCATCACCCACGTGTGAAGCCTCTTCTGGGAGACGGCAGACAGGTGGACACAAGCACCCGCTCTCTGTATGACATTCTTAGCTGAATTAAGAAAGTACAATTAAACCGCAGCTCTACCAGCCGTGGTGGAGTACACTGCCCAACCGTCATGCCTAAGGCTCCCTATGCTTCAGCGCCTCTCTGAGAAGGCGAAGCAGCAGCTCCACCGACAGTAGCACGAGAGCACGGCGCTCTACAAGACCTCTCAAAGAGCTTGGGACTCTGCCCTAACTGGAGTGTTGTAGCTGACACCAGTTCACAGCGAGAAAGGCATGACTATGGCAGGGAGGGGAGAGGGCAAGCATGTGCCCACTGCACACAAAAAATTTAACTTTTTAAAAAGAGTAATAACTTCAAAAAAACCCTTAAAGGATAACTATTTATGCCGATTTAAAAACAAAGTTATCTGGACAAGGAGTACGCCAGTCGCTTCTCTTCTGAGGACAGTCTGCTCTAGGACTCTTTGCTGGGGAAGAGGTCACTAACTAAACAGCAACTGTCACCAGTTCAATGTATTAACATACATTCTTGTTTCTAAACACATCACTGTGAATCTCCTTTCACATCGTCATCCTGGCATATCATCCAGTTGTAGGTGGTCAATTTCAGTACAGGTGTAACCTGAGTTCTGTGCAGTGCTGGGCACCAAACACTGGGCTTTACGCCTACTAAGTGCTCTAGCATTGACTTATAGCCCTAGACAGGGAGATGAGCAAGGCCTGATGACACGCTTAAATACTGCTATCCTTCCTCTCAGCACACTGGAATCCACTTAAGTCCACAGAACTGTCCAAGTTGTCCATCAAATAGAATTCTGTTAGTGTAGAACCAAAGCCTTAAATTTCACTTCCCATAAATGTATTATTTTAACAAGAAAAACTTGTAAGAACTGGTATCTTCCAAAGGGGAAGATCCTACTGCTGTGAGAGAAATACCCACCTAACTGGAGATTCCTTTAAAAAAAGATGTTCTCGCTACTATCTAAGGCCACCTATAAACCACCAATATTTAGCTGTGTTTATACTGAGAACAAACATTTCTCCTGAGACCCCAGATAGCAGAGGATTTACTTGGCAGGACAAAGAAAGGTTCAGACAAAGCTAACAGATCTAAAACCAAACCATCACCAGGGGCTGAATTTTAAAAATCATCAGAGGTCACTGTACTCAGCAGTACAAGCTTGCAATCCCAGAACTCCAGAGGCAGAGGCAAGAGAATTACTTCAAGTTTGAGGCTGGCCTACAGAGTAATTTCCAGGCCAGTCAGGACTGTACAGAGAGTGTGTCTCAAAACAACAAAAACAACTTTTTAAAGTAATAAAAAATAATATTTTTGAGAGTCTTCAGGAAGCAAAGAGACAGGACTTTAAGAGAGGCCAGTGACAGGGACCCAAGTACTGCTAGCCAAATGAGCAGACAAGGTGTGAAGACACAGAGCTGAGCCGCTTGTGCTCTCTGCACAGAAGCACCAATGACACCACTGACAGGCATGCCCTGGACCAGTAAGACTTCATTTCTTCATCCACTCTCTCCTCACAAAGGCACTACTGGCAGGGGACGGAAATCTCCGACAGTCCTCTCAGGCAGTATGGAGAATGCGAGGTAACCCCCAAGTCTTACTCTTACAGTTCATTTCACATTGCAACATTACTGTCACTCACGTCCCCAAAGGGTGTCCAGTTTGCAAATGTTATGAAAATGGCACATCTCCTCTCTGCATCATTAGGGTAGCCTGTTGAAGTGTTATATTTAGCAATCTTACTACTGGTTTCACCTTAGCAACTTAGCCACGTCTACGACTACTTCTCTTATACCAGAAACCATGAAACATAGAAAGGGGGAGGGGAGGATTCATACCCTGTTCTATTTGTTTGCTATTTTACTTTTCTTTTTTCTTTTTTTCCCTCCAAGACAGTTTCTCTGTGTAGAAGTTGTTCTGTAGACCAGGCTAGCCTCAAACAGAGACCTGCTTGCCTCTGCTTCCAGAGTGCTGGAATTAAAGGCATGTGACACCATTACCCAGCTTTTACTATTTTAAAACTGATTTCCTCTTCCAATTTTCTCTAATTCTGGAAGGCCCACAGCATGCCTACTTACAGCCCTTAAATTCAGTTTGGTGACAGCAGCAGGTCATCATGCTACCCTGAAGGTATACTAGTCAAATGTACCTCTTGGTCCTGCTTTTTCTAGCCAGCAACTTGTTGCTGTAACTCATTGCTGAGATTTTGATTCTTCCATTTGCACAATTTATCAAACTGATGGCGATCTTTATTATTTGCAAATCTATCTTTTTCCCTGGCAGATATTAATGTATTTTGGATGCTAAAATGTGATTGCTGAACTAGGGATGTGTCATTGAGTCGGCAGAGTCCTTACCTAGCATGTGTGAAGTCTGACACTAATCCTTAGGATGACAGAAGCCGGGTATGATGGTGAATGTCCCTCATCCTAGCACTTCAGAGGCAGAGACGGAGGGTGGCGAGCTCAAACAGCTCAGCACACTCAGGGCCAGCATGCGCTCCATGACAGCCATCTCAGAGAGGCACTGTACCAGCACTGCACTGGTCTGGTAGCCCACAGACGTATGTATATCCTCAGACAGCACAGAAGCCAGAAGAATACACAGTCTCCATTTACAGAGTGTACAACAGTTGTGGAACAGGTTGGGATTTCCCCATGAAACTAAGAACAACTAAGAGCTTCAGTCCTGCCATGGTACAGATAGCAGATCACACAGGACTCTACAAGCCTGAGGCCCGTGATATGATGACTGGAGAAACAACATGTAACCCACTGCTGAAAAAAGGTACAAGCAAGCCACGTGTTTCCAGGCATCACTAAAGCTCACAGACATGTACCACCTGTCATTCAACTCGAGATATATTCCTACAAACTTGTTCTTAAAGGCTGCCATGAGCCTGCTAAATACACAATGAGCAGTGTCTGCACTCCAGTATAAAGTGGACATCCCTCTGTCATGGGGCTGACACACTCATACTATGGAATACTTATGTTTACAGCTCAAGCTACTGAAGGCCAGCAAGGCACCCCCTCTGAAGGAGCAAAGCCACCCAATGGCTGCACTCTGAAAGGCAATAAATAATGACACAGAAAACAAAAGGAATCATCTCTTCCCCCACCAAAAGCTGTGTTCCTCATAAAGGCAAGAAGGGCACTGTAAAAAGTCAAACCAAAATAACTTTCAGCAGAAGAACAAAGTAGTTCTGTATATTTTCAAAAGGCACCAGAAAATAAAATTTCTCACTCTGATAGGCAAATTAAGCCTTTTTCTTTATCAAAGTAGTGTCTTCATTCCCAGGCCATAACTGTCTACCTGACTGCTCCCTAGAAAGTGGTTACAAGTCCTAAGGTCAAGGCACAGTGAACCAAATGTGTGTCTTAAGATTGTTCAAATCCGACAGTGTTCTGGAGATTAGCATCCATGTAGGTTCTAAAAGGATAAAAAAAAGAGGCAGAGCATTGATGCAGAGAGACAGGCCTACACTCTTTGCCTTATGACATTTGATATAAACTATCCCAACCTTCACTGTGATTCATTTATACCAACAGCCTCACTCTTGGGCCAACCAAAGAGCCTCTGATGGCTATACTGCATAGGTCCTCATATGACAAGTCTGGTACACAGCAAAGCTATTCGTACATGATCTTTCAATATCAGTAACACTTATAACATTGTAGTGTGTTAACAGGCACCTTAGCTAGAGCTATAGATAACAACGTTATAAACTAAATGAAATGTAAAGGCTAGAAAGGCAGCACAGCTCCCAGCTGTCATCTAAAGGCAGTGTTGTCCAAAGGAGAGCCAAGAAGCAGAGAGGGCCTCAGACCCCGTCACCTCCAGCACTTTACCAGAGGCTACACTAAGACAGTCACCCATAAAAGTGCAAAATGAAAAGATTAATACACAGTAAAGTTAGAGTTCTTGACATATGGGCCCAAAGCAGCAACCAAAGCTGAACGCAGCCACGGAGCACACAGTAACTAGCTGTTAAATAGGAATTCTGACAAACGTGAGTAAATGACAAATACTTGAGATTTTAAAAAAGGAAATGTTTTACAAAAGATATACAGCATGAAGTCCCATTATACTGACGAACACTTAGCTATATTAAATGTAAATGTATGGCATCCAGAAATCGACCACCTTGCTTTCACTGAACACCATGTTAGGATTGCAGTATCCTTCAAATAAGATTCAATAGTTTCCTTTAAGCCCCTACTTTAAGTTTTTGCAAAACAATATATGCTTTTTCAAAGGTGGCAGGACAAAGAAATTCCCAGAGGAATATCGTCTTCTACTTCCCACAATATATGCTCTCTTAAAGGATAAAATTTCATTATGTGATGTACTGCTTTGTAAAAAATTATCAAATAAAAAAACTGTTGGGACAATAAGCAGAAGCACGTTCCAGTTGAAGATCAATGCTAAGCTTTTCAACAGGGGCAGAATACTTTACATTGTTGATAGTACTTTTGAAAGTTAATCACAATGAACACGAATACAAACAAATGTAATATCATCATAAAATACAAATGTGTTGGTCACAATTACGTAGAAAAAATAAGCCATAATATCTGTTTTTCCATGTCAGCTCACAGTATCTGTACTGGAAATTCCTCTAAAATTAAAACAAGTCCACTAAAAATAGAGTTGAAAAGAATACTTCTGCACTATGAGACAGAAGAAATGGGGTTCAGCGGAGAGCCCATCTGTGTCAGGACTTTATCCAGCCACTGCAGAGGCCCATGGAGGTGAATCTCTATCCAGCATGGTGTACTGGTGACGTCCTGTCGGTGGTACTCCGCTCCCCAACCCTGGAAATGAATAGACAGCAAAGCAAATCCCTCTTGAACAGTCAACCGTCTCCACCAACTTCAACAATAAAAAGCTTAACTGTAGAAACACATAAGAAACCCATACTTAAACTGAACAACTACAGAAAACAGTAAGCATTCAACACGGGGTCAAAAACACAGTTGTACTGTCCAAGGCTACACACCTCAACAACTAACAGAATTCCTCTGATTCAGACCCATGGGGCTAAGAACATGTTTAAATGTTACAAAGGGCCCAGAGTATGACCTTTCACAGCTAAATCATGCTGTGCTGGGATACACACTCTCATCAAGTAAATGTTTGTTTTTATCTGATTCGACAGTGTGAACACTGACCAATCCATACCATGTAGTTTACTGTATGAAGAACAGCAAGCCATTATCCCTAAAGGTAAGAAATTAACCAGATAAAGTAAGCTTCAGATAAAAACTGAAAAAATGTGTGTGTTTTTTTAAATTTTTATTTTCCTGATTTATCAAGTTCTTTGTCTCTCTGATTATAGTGGCTCTGCTCCAGGGAAACTAGGGGGACAGAGGAAAGAGAAATAGGGCAGGCAGGGAAACTGGACAATAAAAAACCCACACTTCAAAAGAGGGAGAGAAATTAAATTCAGATCATTGATAAACAGCAAAGAAACTGTGGACTGGGCTTACATGGCAAAACAAAACAAAAGAAAACAAGCCTACAGCTGTTCTTCCTAAACCAGGAGGGAGCAGTTCCAACTGCTGAAACTCACCACTGTGAGTCTCTCAACACAATCTTTACAACGGTCAGTAAAATCAGGCCACGAGAGTGATAGGCTTTATAAATCCTTTGCCACAGGCCTGAGACACAAGTGATAAAGTACTATAAGTTTCCCGCTTCACTGTAATGGAATCTGAGCCAGTCAGAATGCAATGTTAATATTAAATACTTTCTAATAATTTGTCTACCAGATGGAATACTTTGTAAGCCCAATTCTTACCCATGATCAAAATTAATCATGGATATTATGTGTAGATTATAAAATGAATCATATGGTTAAAGTGATAAATTCAAAATTTTCACTTAAATAAATGAAATTGATTCAAAACCACTGATTACCTTTAATAACTGTTTATACCGCATACATACTTACAATGAGTAAAGTCACACTGTAGATCGTGACTACTCACCTTGACAAAGCTCATCCGAATGGTACACATCTTGGTGAGCTCATACACGGCCTCGAACCCATGGTTGACTGACTGAGCCAGAAGCTGAGCAAACTCCTGATTGTTAAAGATTTTGAGACTGCAGCTGCTGGGGATCTTACAGACAGTCGTGGGGTGGAAGCCATGGTGAAAGTTGCAGTTCCTACTCTGAACAAAGATGCTGCTGTCACTGAGACACTCGGCATACACCTCCCCACCAACGTAGTATAGATGAACACCTTAAAGAGACAGGCAACAAGGGAGACAGCTTAGCAAATCATGGTAAGAAGCTAAAGAAGACAGTATTACCCAGAATGCACAGCAAACTCCAGTGTTCAGATCACAACTACCACTAGATGGCCTTCGGCAGCCACAAATAATCGGCACGACTCAGAGCCTCAGACAGTCAAGCGTCAGGCTGGAGTTGGCAGGGTATTATAACTGCCTGACCCCAGGGTTTGTGTTTCCTTTCCCAACCACCATTTGTTTCTCTAGGAAGGAAAAGATGTTCTTTAACATTTCTTTTTATGAGTACTTAAAAAAAACTCATCATAAACGTTATTTAATGAAGTTTTCCACCCTGTTTGCTAACAAAGAAGACCACAGCATTTTAACCATCACCCCCAGAAACCCAGACATACATATGTGACTTCAGATTACAGAAAGCTTTAAAATAGCAGACTTGTCTTACTTTCCTTTTAAAAGCCTTCTTTCCTTCTTCTTCTTCCCTTTGTTTTTTGTTTGTTGTTTGTTTGTTTGTTTGTTTTTTAATGGAACTAGAGCAATGGCTCAAAAGTTGAGAGCACTGGCTGCTCTTACAGAGGACCCATATTGGGTTCCCAGTACCACACGGAGCCTCACAACCTCTAACTTCAGTCCCAGGAGATGTCCCTCTTCTGGCCTCTAAGGGCACTGTATGTATGCAGTACTCAGACACATGTAGGTAAAATACCTATACACACAAAATAATATAACTTTTTAAAGTTTTCTAGAAATATACTTATGAGAAATCAGTTCTAATAGTAAAATTTAAACTTTATTACTAAAAAGCTGACTCACAAAATAGTTTTCCAATATACCTAAGAATTACCTCAAGATTTTCTTCTCCACAGGTAGACAGTGCTACAAATTTGGTATATATCCTTTTAAACCTTTTCACATGCAGCACACATTAAGTTACTGTGGTAGTTTGAATGTTTGGTCCAGGGAGTGGCACCATTAGGAGGTGTGGCCTTGTTGAAGGAAGTGTGTCATTGTAGGAATGGGCTTTTGAGACCCTCCTCCTAGCTAGCTGCCTGAGGACAATCTGTTCCTGGCTTTCTTTGGATGAAAATATAGAACTCTCAGCTCCTTCAGTCCCATGTCTGCTTGGATGTTGCCACGATTCCACTTTGATGATAATGGAATGACTCTGAACCTGTCAGTCAGTCCCAATAAAATGCTGTCCTTATAAGAGTTGCCTTGGTCTTGATGTCTGTTGACAGAAATAAAGCTCTAACTAAGACAGTTATATCTAGGCTCCTACAGAATATGTTTGTGTGCTTTTGGGAATAGGGGGCTTTGCTGTTTTGTTTTGTTTTTTTGTTTTGCTGTTTTGTTTGCTTGCTTGTTTTTTTATAAATGAAACAGGTGTCACAGTCTGTTGCTCAGAAGCACAGTCTTGTCTCACTCACAGGACAGCATGCTGCCAACTGCCATATTCTAGGTAAGAAAGACTACTGACTGCCCTCAATGGACACGCTTCCATTATTGCCTGTGACCACATACAATGCCTACTTTAGCAGGATCTCCATTAATGTAAATCTCTATTCAAATGTAAGTCACAGAATTGTGACAAGATATGGTATTAAAAAACTGTGGCTTGCTTCTGAGTAAACAGAAACGGACTCTGGAATAGGAATCCTGGCAAGTAAGTGAAAACTGATCCAGAGAGATGTCCTTGAATTGTCTCCACTGTAGGAGCACTTGCAGAGCAGCGTATACAGGAGACACAGTTCACAAAAAACGTCAGGGTTAGCTGACAATAGAATCAATAAAAACAGTTCAAATGTTTTGTTTGTTTGTTTGAGGTGTTTTTGTTTGTTTGAAGACGGTCTTGCTCTCCATAGCCCGGGTTGCCTTAGCCTCCCCAATGCTGGGATTACAGGTGTAAACCACTGCACCTGGCTTCAGATTATTTTTCTGAATCTCACCTATAAAAAAACCTACCACAATTATTGTTATCTGCCATTGCTACCATCTCTGACCAAGACTCAAATCAAAGGAGCACAGAACAGCAGGGTATAAAAGCAAAGCCACTCTTGCTGGAGACATGCAGCATACTCAACTGTGGTGAATACTCTAAGGTGTGACACTGCATCCCATAAAGTATGCAAAGTACTGCCAACTAAGATCCATGGTGGTTTATAAGGAAACTCCAATGCATGAGGTTTTTGGATATTCTTACTCTATTTCTACCCCTAACTCCACTTCCCTTGTACTGTGCTAATCTAACAGGAGAAAACACTCCAAGCACAATAATTTTACATTTCTAATCCCTCTTTAACATGCACATATTTTTCAAAGATTTTATATACATATACATACATATACACACATATATACATATACACACAGAGAGAATGACAGAGACAGACACACAGACAGAGGCATGGAATGTTCCAGTTACTGAGGATACTGCTGTGAACAAGAGAAACTCTTCCCCTTTATGTTCCAGTCAGGCCCTGACTGTGGGGTAAACACTCAAGAAGTAAACAACAGGACTTCAGGTCTTTAGTACTAGAAACAGAAACTGAGCAGGATAAAAAGGAGAGGAGGACTAGTTATATTTTTATGTGATCACATTCTTTAATATTTGCAACTTGAGGCAAAAGCCATGCCTTAAGATTTTTTGGATGTTTCTGGCACCTTCTGCAATGAATTGTATCTAGCCAGTATGGGGGAAAAAAAGATTTAATTCAACTGAATGAAATGACAAGATTACCTTTTCCAATATGTCGCCTAGTGTTTTCAATAGTTGAATTACGATTAACATTTGACAACAATCCCAAGCAGAATCTACTTTTGTTATTTGAAGGGTCTGTGAATCCATCTACTAGTACACTAGTCGACGACGCATGGAAAGCTTCCCCGACACGGTTGTTCAGTTCATAGTAGACAATTGAACACCAGTGTTTGGGCTCTTCATAGGCAACAGGCTGAACATCTGAAAACAGAAAAGAGGTTAATAACTGATTATCTGAAACACCAAGTACTTTTGTATATTTACCATTTGTCCTAACCAAGCATTCTATGACAAAGAAAATAGATACTTCATTTAAATTTCACTGACATTCCTGGCTTAGAGTCCAAGGCTTATCTTGGCCTGCTCAGATAGCTATAGTAAAATCACAGACTGAGTGGCTTCAATTCAAGACAAAACAACAATAGCAAAGCCACCACAATTGTTTCTCACAGTCTGCTCTAGAGGCTCAGCTATCAAGCTATAAGCAGATGTGCTGTCTAGTGTGTGTGTGTGTGTGTGTGTGTGTGTGTGTGTGTGTGTGTGCATATGCTCAAGTGTGAATGCAAGTGTGCAGGTGTGTGCGTGTAGAGATCAGAGGTCAACCTTAGAAGTTGCTTCCTACTTTCTACTTTGTTTTGAGTCAGGGTCTCTCTTGTCTCTGCTTTGCCACATACTCTAGGTTAGCTGACCTTTGAAATTTAGGAAATTCTCCTGCATCTACTTTCCATATCACTGCAGAAGTGCTGTGATTACAGAGATATACATAGTTTTTTGTATGTTGGTTCCAGGGATCTGAAATGAGGTCATCAGGTTTGTCTAAGCAAGTGCTTTTTATACGAGGAGCCAGCTCCCTGGCCTCTGTATCTAATCATGTAAAGACAATTCTATCTCAAAGACCTTAACCTCAGGAATTTATTTAACCCTAATTGTCTCTTAAATGGCCCTATCTCTATGTAGCATTACACTGAAGGTTAGGTCCCAACAAAATCAGAGACTAACAACTAGGTCCATTACTTTTTCACCCCTGTCTCATGTAAATCCTATCTCCCAAGTCCCCAGAGTCTTAGTTCACTCCAGTAAAGATGTACAGTCCATAGGTAACCCAGAGAAAAGTTCTCTCACAGAAAATGCCTCTTTAACTACAACACAGGTGAACTGTGTGTGTGTGCTGTAGAGAGAGGTGTGCTCTAAGCACCCCAGCCCGTGCATGGCTCATCCCCTCATGAAACAATCACCCTCAGGGCCAGCTCTTTTGAGCTTACAACCGACAGCTTAAAATGTCCTGCCTTATAAAAGTCTAACAGTCTCCCTTGCCTTGATCCACCTGTGTCCCCTCAAGCCAAATGAACTGTTCCTGATGGAGGGGACTAACCAGGTCCATACTTCACACCCACACTAATACACTCTCAGATGTAAACAAATCTCCTAAGTGTCTCTACAAACACACTTTCTTATTATTTACAATGTGTAGAAAATGGAAAATCTCTTAAATCTTAAGTTCTTTTTAAAGTAACAGTTCCCCCTTTAATGTAGCAGCAACAGCACCTCAAACAGGTCTACACTAATACAGGCTTTGTCAAGTAAAATTCTTTTCTAACAGCTAAAAATAATTACATCTGTACCTGTAGAATTATTCTAAACAAAAGAATGAACTATAAGTAAGGTTCTAAGCAAACAGAACTGCAGAAAACCTAGTTCCCAGCATTAGGTATGGAGTTAGCTGTGGTTATCATCACAAATACAACGCATGCGCATACACACTGAACTTTAGAATATGTAAATAGCGGCGTCTTTCTGCTCTGTCTGTGGTGTGCTGTAGTGCATGTGTGAGTGACAGAGACAGCCTCAAGACTGACTGATCCTTGCCTTACAGGTCTAAGTGCTGTTTGAGGCAAGGCTCTTAGGCTATTTGCTCCTTGGTTTGGAAGACTAGCTGGCTCTCACACTTGCTGGGATTGTTGAGCCTCCATTTCCCTTGCCCTGGAGGAGTTCAGGGATTGAAAGTGTGCAGTGTGCCTGGCTTCTGTGTGAATGCTGCCCATCTGAACTCAGGCCCCCAGACCTGCATAGCAAGACTTTACTCAGAGACATCTCCGTAGCCCCTAATGTCAGTATCTGATCTGTAACACACTTGTACCAATGTAGGACATTACACAATGGTATGTACCTTATGGAAAAAAAACACCACTAGTCTTTCTTATTTGTCAATGAAAGCATTCTATGTAATACATCTTGCCTCACAGGCAGAATTACAAGCAAGGAGAGCATGCACAATGACAAACAGCAGAGAGTGAGCTCGCAAGGATTTGGGAAACTTGGGATGCTTATGGAGTGCCCCTGAGACACAGTGCTGCTGCTGCTGCCATACAGAGTCTGGAGGTTCCAAAGGTTAAACATGATTAGCATAGAACAGCAATTCTATGCTAATCTATATATTCCCAAATATATGTAGCATGAAGAGAGATGGGACTGTACAAAGAGACTCAAATAACAGCCTACTGTGCAACGGCCAAAAAAGCAGAATGAAGGCAAGTATTTATAAATAGATAAGTGGATAGACAAAACATATAGGTGCCATGCCATAGACTAGAATGTAATCAGCCCTAATAAGAAATAAGATTTGAACATATATTTTGACATGTATAATCCTTGGCAAGGCCACACTAACAAAAAGAAGCAGGATGTGAAGGACAAATAGGTACTGGACGAGTCCACCTACATCAGATGCCCAGACAGGACATAGGTAACTTACTGATGAGTAACTGGGAGAAAGAAAATAGGGAAATTTATAATGGGCACAGTGTGTGCTCAGAAGGATGACAAGTTCTGGAAGCAGACAGTGGCAATGGCCGCAGAGAGCTGAATGCATATTACTGAACTGTACATTCTGACAACAGAGTCCACAAACACATGAAGCAAGCATCTAAAGAACTGAAAGCAGAAACAGATATAATTCTATCCTAATTATTAGAAATTCCAAACTTTCACTCTTAATATGGACAGAACAGTTAGAAAGAAAATAGGCAAGGATACAGAGAGCTGAGCACTGTAACCCAACAGACAGTACACCTTAACTGAAGAGTCACAATCACCACTTGGTTAGACCAGCAGACCTGGGACAGCCTCCGAGAAGTGCTTGCTGCAACTTACACACAGCAGTACAAAGGTGGGAGGAGCACAGCAGCCCCTCAGTGGAGTGCAGGCAAACAAGGGTGGCACACACACGGGAACACTGTTCATCTAAGGAATTAAAACCTGACAAATACAACACACATCCATCTCAGAGTTATCATGCTAAGAGAAAAAAGCCTCGTACCATACCAACGAGTCATTGCAACGAACATCTGCAAGCAAAGATGTGTGGACAAAAGGGTAGGCTGTGGGCCACACTGGAACATACTACAACTTCCACGATGAGATTTTTTTTCTATGTTGTGGGGAGGTTGCAAGGGTAGGAGGACAGGTATAGGAGGGGAAGATGAGTGGGATTGAGTGCATGATGTGAAATTCACGAAGAACAAATAAAAAGTAAAAACCAAACCAAACAAACATAAAACCCCTATATTTTGATCCCAAACTTCATATATTTGCCAAAACCACTAAACTAACTCACATCGATTTTATAGTCAAGGTGCTTTCACAAGTGAGCAAGATCTGGAAAAACTCAGGGGGAGATTATTTACCTAGAGTATGAGGCCCTGGGATGGACTCCTAGCACTGCAAAAAAGTAAAGAAAAGTGGCCAAGAAATTAAAAGAAATAAAAATAATACCAACAAAAATAAAGAGTGAGCACTGTTCTCACCTCTGCTGGATATGCTGGGCATGATCTGAGGAATCATGTTGCTGCTGGTCTCCATAGGCTGGGAATTATCCTGACCCATCTGATCATCCGGTGGCATATAGGCAGGGGGAGGTGTATCAGCTAAGAGCAAGAGAATGAGACACATTAATTCCTCGAAGACTAAGATCTTCATTCTGCCCAAAGCTATTACTCTAAAAGCCTTTTTTAACCTACAAGGCTAACAGCAGGTTCCACTATTGAGCACACACAGATGTAGGACACACACTGCTCAAGAGCAGAAAAGAGCGCACACAGTATCTCCTGCAAACCTATTACAAGCATGTATTAACTCAGACCCTTGGTAATCCAGGATACCAGGGTTAACAATGAAAGTGAACCCAAAGTCAAGTGTTTTGTCTTTAACCTATGTTCAAAGAAACTGCAGCTCCTGCACAGCAATCTGCGGCTGCATATCACCTAGTGCACACAGCACAGGTGATTTACCATATCATCGGCATCACATACTGTGTGTCATTCCAAGTTTGCAGTAACAGTAACAACAGTTATTTTATTCTGTTGCAATGCCCCCAGTAACCATCATGCCCTACAAGATGGCAAGGTAATTCGCTTAGGAAACTGCACATTAATAAAATCTTTGGGCTTCCAACACTCAGAACTATGAATTTTTGCAAATGACTACTTTTCTCAGTAACTATAAAACTGAAGAGAAGCTCTCTTTTGCCCCAAGGTTTATATGGGATATCTTGAGACAAAGCTATGTATGGCACTGAAATCTAAGATGAAATATTCAAATTTGTTTTTGAGACAACTCTTAACAGCAAATAAAACACTTGGACTTAACTCTCCAATTTTCAGATTTTTAAACATAATGGAACTTGAAAAATAAAAATCCAATCCTTGTGGAAATAAATTCTTCAAGACTATGTCATCAACAGCAAGATCTTATGTAATAGTTCACTCAGAAGACCAGCACTTAAAACCTAGTTTTGGAGATCATTTTTTCTATCAGTGAAGTCTTACCTGGGAGTTGAAAAGGACTTCCGGGTCCAGAGCTTGCTGGGGAGTTGGGATATGTGCTACTAGCAGGGGAAGGCGGGTAAGGGCTGTTAGGAGACAAGGGGAAAGGAGTGCTGTTGGGCTGGTGGAAAGACTCGGGAAACGTGGCGTTCTGTGGCATGTGCGGTTCATTGTGGCTCAGGTTCCTGAACTGAACCAGAAGGCTGTGCTGTGGATTGAACTCGTTGTGACGAGGCACTAACACTGGAGGTAAGACTGAAAGAAAAACAAAAAGCAATCAGAAAAACAAGTCACAGCTAATCAGGAACCTTTAAGGGCAGGGATTAAAGCTCACTGTTAGGAGGGGCAGAATCTGGATTTGTATTTACATCATAACCAACCCAAAAAACCTTTAGGTTCGGCCTGAGTGAAGGACTCAGAAGCAGAAAGTTCAAAAGGATGGCATTCTCCATCTATAGCACATAAGTCATTTAAAAAAAAAGCCATAATAAGAAGCATTTAATGCAATTAATGAGAATTCAAAATATGTGCATGCCAGCCAGCAGAGTACCAAATACTGTGATAACAGTAACACCTGAGGATGCCAGGAGTGAAGAGAGGCAGACAGGCTGGGAAGAGACAGTCACGGATCCAGACAGATGTACGATTACAGAGGTTGCTGAGGTCAGTATGTGGAACCCTGAGAACTCCACATTCCCAAAGTTGAACACTTTCAGAGTCAGTGAGGGCCATGTTTAACATTTAGAGAACTGGTAAGGTTTCTTTGACGAAGCAACAAATCTCCAGAGTGAAAAGGCCTTCCCTTCAGTCCTCTAAGTACAACTTCATCTGCAGTCCTTTTCGATTGTTTACTCTAATGACTCGGCCACTGGACTCTCGCAGTTCTCAGTTCTCAGTAGCTGTGTGTGTGAACATTTCCTCTCTGCCCACTCCTCAGATGCTCTCCTTGGGTCCCTCTGGAGAAACGATCCTAGATTTCAAACTAGCTTGGGCAACATAATGTTAAGCACTGGCATACACACTGACTCACCCAGTCGCCCTGACAACCCTGTAAGGTCATTAATAGTAGTATTATCTAGTTGAAGAGAACATTAAATCACAAGATTTTGTAACTTTCCTGAGGTTACAGGTAATAAGTATATATAAAATCAACTCCAGGACTTAAAATCTTAGCCAGCAGATAATATTTTCTAGTCAAATAAATACTGGCACGTCTCAGCTGGCCTTCTTCTCATGCCCATCATACCTTTTATTATCTTTTTCTCTCTGTGACACTTCCTCATTCCACTCTACACTCTGTGCACTCTTGTGTAAGTTAAGACTTAGCTACTTTGTCTGTAACATTACTACAGCCTTTTTGCTGTGGGATGTTGGTGCTTTCTCTATCTCTAACTCTACACAAGAGAATACCAGACTTAGGAAAGCACATATGTCCACGAGTGCTCACCATTCACTGTAACTAGAGTCACCAACAACCTCCTTTATTAGCACAGTACCAGGAGAAGAGGCATCTATTGTCCCTAACTGATCAAGGAGGAACACTAGTTAAGTTAATCCTACCGAGTGAAGCTATCCCTTCCCCAGGAGATGTGTAGACTTGGGACCAAGCATGAGGTTTCTATAGTTTTTCCCATCAGCTGAACTAGCAAGACATTTCCAAAGTTAAAGTATCATAACCAATGCTGTGCTTCATACGGAATGAGAAGGTGGACTAAAAGAAAGACAATTCCACTGGCCACTGTCATTCCACTGACTGTGAGAAGGAACAGATACAATTCTTAGATGTATTGCTGGCAAATACTTAGCTAGAGAATTTTTCAGAAAATATTCCTCCACTAAATCTGTCTTGTTCTTTCCTTCCTCAGTTCCCTCATATGATAGATAGCTCTCCTTGGGCTTCATAAGAAACTGAAATCCACCTCACATATAGCCCAGCAGCTCTAAAGTTCATGGTTGAATGTTAACCAGTAACTCAGGTCACTGCTAGTCTTTTAGCTCCACATTCAACTACACAAGGCTTACAAGTCTTCCAGTGTGGAAGACAGAGTCTGGGGATTCATGTAATTGGATAAACCTCACCCTTCAGCATATGGCCTATGACTTGCTTCCAACAGAATTATGGGCAAAGTAACGGGGAAGTGTTTAAGAATTCAATGCCCTCTTGCAGGAAAACCCTCTTGTTACTGGCTCTGAAGAAGACAGAGCATCATCACATGCACGAATGCTATCAGAGACAGTCTGGCAGAGAAAATCTACTACTGTGAGAGAGAATGGCAGTACAAGAACAAATACACAGGTGAACTTCTGAAGACGGTCGTGCAGTAAAGCAGATGAAGCTAGTCTCCAGGCAATAACCATTAAGCATCCAATGGCCTGTACAGGAAATAAATCTTGTCACATCTGAACTCCCAAGATAAACCCAGCCCTGACCAACACCTTGATTAGAAACTCACAAAAGATGCTGCTAAGGTGACTAACGCATGACCCCAGAAAATATAAGGTAATACATGCATGTTGTGTTTTAACTACCACATGTGTGGCTATTTATTATGTAGCAACTAAGATAAGTAAGAACCCAACTTGTATCTCAGCTGCTGTGGTGAATCTATCTTGCAAAGGTCACAGGCTGGAAACTTAATTCCCACCGTGGCAATGTTGGGAGGTGGGGTCTCACAAGACGTAATGAGATTATGTCACTGTGGAGGTGGACTCCTTTTACATGAACCGGCTGCTTGGGCTGGGGTGTACCTCCACAGTAGAGAACTTGCCTAGAACACACAAGACTCTGGTTTTGATGCTGGCACCAAAGGAAAACTAAAAGTAGGTCTCTTTATACATCTCCATTTCCCTCCGTCCGCTCTGGCTCACTCAGACCCATGGCACTCCTCTGTTCTAGGGTAGAGTTCATTACAAGACCCTCACCTTATGGTCTCTTAATCCTGGACTTTCTACCTTTCAATTTCTATTGTCAATCTTTAACAAAGGCTAAAGTAACCTTTTAGTTAGTAAACCTAATTACATGCAAATTGAAGAGATACATGTTGGTTTTGTTTTTAATTCTTCTCAGTAGAGTGAATTTATCCAGTCTGTGTGGAAGTCTGCTACAAAAGCAATAAAAGGACTAAAACATCAGCTTATGTAATTAATTCACTACAAAAAAGAAAAAAATACCAACCACCATACCTAGTAAAAAGTATTATTCTAGACACTGAAGAATGAGAAATGAGTAAGAAAAGAACTCTCTGCCAACTCCCAAGAGCTGTCCTCTGATCTCTAATGGGCCATGCACACACACACACACACACACACACACACACACAAGCACAAAATAAAAATAATTTACTAAAAAAGACATGTAGAGAGGGAAAATGTAAAGACAGAAAAATCGACAATGAGTGACAACAAAGTTCCTAAATAAACAGGAGAGAAGGATCCAGTGTGAACAAGGAACGTGTGTTCAGCATGACAGAGATATGTAGGCCACACAGGAGAGGAGGATCCAGTGTGAACATGGAACGTGTGTTCAGCATGACAGAGACATGTAGGCCACACAGGAGAGAAGGATCCAGTGTGAACATGGAATGTGTGTTCAGCATGACAGAGATATGTAGGCCACACAGGAGAGGAGGATCCAGTGTGAACATGGAACATGTGTTCAGCATGACAGAGACATGTAGGCCACACAGGAGAGGAGGATGTGTTTAGCATGCAGAGACATGTAGGCCACAGGGTGTTAATAGAGTGAATAGCAATAGCAGTCAAAAGTTAAATGTTCACAAAAGCTAAACTTAAAGCTAGAATTCCTTCTCAGATGGAATCTTTAACAAAAGTTAATGCAGGATTTAGCTAATAAGCCTAGTTATATGCAAAGTGGTGAGAGACATATTGATGTTTTTGTTTTTATTCTCAGTACAGTGAAACTTACCTGGACTCTCCACTCTCTTATAGTGGTACGGATTGATACAAACTTCCTTTTGCTTAGATCCAAAAGGAAATTCACAAATATCCAATGGTTTTAGCTCATGATGGCTCTGCAAATCTGGCCAGCGCCAAACACGGCAATATATAACGTGGGGTAAGCCTTTCCTGTGAGAAACTTGCAGACGTCCATCCAAGGACCGGGGGATAGTGACACACTTGCTTGGCTGTCCTGGGCTGCTCAAGGCTTTCTCCAACTCTTCCATGGCACCCTTCTTCTTCTTCAGCTTTTTCACTAAAGCATCCACTGCCTTTTCTGCCCATTTTTCTTCCTCGTCACCTTGTTTCCAGCCCAACAATCGCTTCACGGCTGGACTAGTGAAAGAAAACAAGCTGGCCATTGACGTCATTTGATACAAATCTTCAGACACTCTCCTGTAATCAAAGTCAGTAGATACAAAAAGTGTAGATCGCAGGTGAAAAGTCACATGCAGGTCTCAAGCAGAAGGTCCAAGTGGAGGGGGGGAGTAGCATTTAACTTTACAGATGCCATATGCTTCTTCCATTAGTACAAGTCCTGGAAGAGAGGGCAGAAGGAGCCTAATTCAGTCTAAGAAGACTAGTCAGCACAAGTGAGAACATTTTATCAGAAATAAAAGTAGAGAAGCAATCAAAGTAAAACAAAAAGCACAAAGCCAGAAAACAAAAATGTCTCTAAAACTCCTATAGCCACTCAATTCCTTCTTCAGAACCAAATAGTTCAGTGGCAAAGCAGAAGTTTAAAGAGACATCTAAGATGAGCAGACTCAGAATAAGAGTTGTCATAAGACGTACCTGGGAATACTTTTATTTCTGCTCATCGTGTTAAAGCTTGTCTCTAACTATGTCAACAGCCTGGCAGCCAAAGTACATGACTTGAAACTGATAATGGACCCCCCAGACAGAGTTATTAATTTAACAGACTGGCAAGCCAAAGACGGGTAAGGTTCTGCACAGAGCCTTAACAACCTAAAACATAAAAGCATTGCTTTTGATAATGCATATTCCATGACAGGTAAGGAAGGCATTCTTGTCAGAATGACCTAAGACAGGCTCAGTCTTGTTAATGAAATAAAAAAGGGAGAGAGGTGGACAGCCTTTGAGGCTGCTTGACAAGAAGCTGACATGGGCCAAGGACAAGGAAATGGGCTTCTTGTCAGGAATATGACATGGGCCAAGGACAAGGAAGTAGGCTTCAGGCAGGAATCTGACATTAGGCTAGAACAAAGAAGTAATTTCAGGTAGGAATCTAAATCTTAGGCTACAACAAAGAAGTAATCTCAGGCAGGAATCTAAATATTAGGCTAGAACAAAGAAGTAATTTCAGACAGGAATCTAAATTTTAGGCTAGAACAAGGAAGTAGGCTTCAGACATGAAAATGACCTTGGGCTAGGACAGGGAAGTAAGCTCAGATACTTTGGTCATCCCGATAAGCCTTTAGAAACAGTGATCACAGGAGTATTCACGTAATTGGGTTTAATGCCTTGCCTTTTCTTTTGACTATTTGTGTATATTGTATTGCTTGTTCCTTGACTATTTGCATCTATTGTATTGCTAGACCCTCAACCTAGAACTGACCTTAATACATGTATGTAATCAAAATGGTATAAAAGCATAAAGGAAGAGGGAGTATAGGATAGGAGGTTTCAGAGAGGAGAAATGGGGAAAGGGGATGACATCTGTATTGTAAATAAATAAAATATCCAATAAAAAATACATTAAGAAAGATAAATACACACAAGGACTATCTTAAAATGACTCCAACAACACAGGAAATATTCCTAAGAATGAACAAATAGGATGATATGAAACTAAAAGGCTCTGAACAGAAAAGATAACAAATAGCACAGTGAAGAGACAGATTACAGAACTGGGGGAAAACTCTTCAGCAAGTACATAGCAGCTGGGATTAATACCTAGGATAATGAGCCATAAATACTCACACCGAAAAGATCATCCAATCAAAAAGTGGGCTAATGAAATAGCAGTTTTCAAAGAAGACATACAAATGTTTAAGTGTTCAACATCTTTAGCCATCAGGGAAATACAGACTAAAATTACTTAGCGATTCTATCTTACTCAGACAGTCTGTCTGAGTGGCTGTCATCAAGAAAACAGCAAATGCTGGGGAAGAAAGAACTCTTGCTCGCTGCAGACTGGTACAGCCACATGGGAATCACTACAACGGTTCCTAAAGAACTAAACATTAAACTACACTTGACGCAGCCACACAGGCTGTGTACCTAAGGGCTCTTAATATGCCAAAGAGGTGGGAGAGAGCAATTAAATATTCATAAGAACACAGACCAAACACAACTTTCATATACTGCAGCTCAGCCACTTTAGAAAATGCTTGACAGCATCCACTGATGCTGAACAATGATCCCTATGGCCCACCAATTCTAGTTCCAGGTATAAGTCTGACATAAATGAATGCTATGAACTCAAGAGAAAAGCACATGTCCAGAGAATGTAAAAGCCCCAATCATGGAAATGGAATTCATACAATAGAATATATCCAGACACAAAATATAACTGAACTTCAGATATAAAAATGAAAAAATTTACATGTCATTCTATTTTATAACATTCAAAAATGGACAAAACTGATAGAGTGCTTTAGAGACTTTAGCTGGTCCTAAGAAGATGTCCCAAAAACCTTCTGTGGAGCTTGAAATTATACCTCACTGTGGGTTACGGTAGGCAGTTACAGACAGATACCTGAGAGATCAGCATGCTTCACCACATGACATACTCAACATCCTACTTACTGTCAACTAAGTTACTCCAGTTCACCCTCTGCATGTCGGCAAGGGACCTAAGTGTCTCCCAAATCAGAAATAAAGGACATGACCATTCACAGCACAGCAAGTAGTCTAAGCACCAGCATGACTCCAGGTCTCCTTTGCCTCCACGACACATGTGACGAATGCAGCAGGGCCCAGTGGGCTTGCTCCAGGGGTCTGTCTGTGAATACCGAGGCTTTTGGATATACTACTTTCATGGTCATGTGCAAACAACATATTCTTTCCAAGAAACTCAGGAGTAATTTGACTATGAAAAGAGTAACAGAAACCTTTGGGAGAAATATAGACACACATACACACAGGCAGATTCTCTCTCTCTCTCTCTCTCTCTCTCTCTCTGTCTGTCTGTCTGTCTGTCTGTCTCACACACACACAAATACACATGCACACACAAAAGATGACAGAAAGATGTAAAATACATTTAGGATGTTTTTGGTTTAATGTCTTACTTTGTAGCTCAGACCAACCCTGAAGTCTCCATTCTCTTGCCTCAGCCCTGAGTGCTGTGATTAAAAGCATGAGCCAGCACACCTGACTCTTATACATATTTTACACATTATTTTTGAAAAATAAAAACTTAATGTTAATGCTGTTAATGCCATGTTGAAGGATGTTGTTACCTATTCTATGAGGAACATTAAATGTAATCATTTGCATTGATTCATTCACTGTTTATCTTAACAATTAATGCATGTTCATAATTTAAAATTGAGCATTTTCTTTTCACAACAAAATTCAAGAAGGGGGGAGGGAAAGGTGGCTCAGTGGTTAAGAGTACTGGCTGCTCTTCCAAAGGACCTAGGTTCAAGTCCCAGCACGTATATGGCAGCTCACAACTATAACTCTGGTTCCAGGAGACCTGATATCCTCACACAAACAAAATACCAATGCACATAAAATACAAATAAATAAATGTAAAAAGATGAACCATTGAAGGTATATACTCTAATTCTTTAAAAAAGACAAACAAACACAACTCCAAGAAGTGCTTTTACTTTAAATGAGCACTTTCCTGACCAGTTATCACTGTCACAGAGGGATCAAACAATGTGGCAGAGCTTCTGTCCATGGCTGTCATTGCTGCAGTCTGTTAGAAGGCATGGAGTAAGGATGGCACTATTGGCAACCACAGGGATACTGGTTACTCACAAAGGTTAAGTTTTTAAACTTTTTAAAAAGAACACAGCTATTTCAACAATCTCGGTAACTTTTTTTGTAAGAATGTAATTGCTGGGGCTGGAAAGATGGCTCCGTTAAAAGCAGTTACTGCTCTTGCAGAAGACCCCAATTTTGTTCCCAACACATCTAGAGGCTCACAACTGCCTGGAACTTGCTGAGCACAATGACTTGGTCTTTGTTACCAGCAAGTCTGACCATTAACATTCACCTGCTGTTGTGGAAGGAGCAAAGCTGACATCAACAGCCACCACTGCAGAGGAACTCTGAGCTGCTGCTCTGGGTGAAGCAAGGTTCTCACCTAACGGCATCAACACAACGCACAGTGCACAGTGCAGTCACTTCCCTGTGTTTTCTGAGAGCCAGGGCTGGGCAAGAGAGAGCTGGCTTTAGCAACATACCCGCAGCACGCCACTTAGGCACACCGCTGATTTCACTCATACTTAGTTATGTACCTCAGTCTAGGAGGTTTCTTCATTATCTTCTTGAGTATATGTATGAGTATATAAGTATGATGAAAGTTACATGAATCACTAAAAAAAATCCATGCCAGGAATAAACTCTGAGCATAATGCTAAATGCAAAGCTAGTCACATAAAGCTACACACACACACACCCACACCAGTTTATTTTAAAATGCCTAGGCTTCTCAACGCTGGGCAGTTCTCATCCTCCGAGGGTTAGCATACTTTTCCCTCTGGTTCTCCTGGCTCAACACCTTCTAAATCTACCTTTAACTTTGCTGCCCTGTTACCTTCTGTGAGGCCCTCGGGTCTATGCTCATCTTCCCTCTGCAGTTCTAAATTCGATCCATCTCCCCTCCCCCTCATCCCCTGCCCAAAGTCATGGCCATTCTCCTCTCTCGCCCCCTACACAAATCTAAGAATCCTGGTCCTGCCCCATCTCTCTTTGCCCAGCCACTGGCTGGCATCTTTACTGATAGATCAAAAACCAACTGGGGACAAGGTCCTTCAGTGTTTAGACACTCAGATTCCCAATTAAATCAAAGCATGAGAACCAATGCCCAACACTTATAAATGATATTTCAGTAGTTATTGACACCTTTAAAGTTGTTCGTGTCATAGTACAACTCAAATGCCAGGTTCTTCCTCTCCAGTGAATTTTCTTTAAATAATATTTTATATTAAAACACAGATCTCTATTATATTTTATATTCCTTTGAGTTCTCCAAAATATTGTTTATTACTTTAAAATAAGATTATGTCATTTGAGACCAAGAATTACAGTTCCATATGCTTACTTTCAAACTAGTTTTTACAACATTTAACACAATCTCATTATATATATTATCAGCTTTCACCCAGTCTTCCCTTATTTGAGCTCAGTCAGCAAGAAATGAAAGCTGCCTAGGAATAAAGTAAACAGGAGAGAAGGCAAGGATTGGATCAAAGAGGGAAGAGAAGCAGAGCGGCCATGGGAACACTAAGAGATTCAGGACTAACAGACGCTGTAGGTCAGATGTGGACTGACTTAGAGGGCTGAGGAGGCGTCTCAGAAACAAGACAAAACAACAAAGATGTACTCTGGCTAGTGCGCTCAAAGATGAAGTCACCTAAGTGACAAGAGCAGGCGACTGACAGCAGGGCAGACAAAGGGACAACAGGACTCCTGATGGAGAGATAGGGGCTGTGAGGACAGGAGTCAACAATGATTCCAAGG